CTAAAGATTCCTTCTGGATTTACAAGACAGCGGTTCACCACAGACTCCGCTTGTGTCAGTTCTTATCTTTTAAGAGTTTCCCCTCCTTTCCCAAACCTCGGTCCGGGGTCTTTGGTCTCTGGATCAAAGCGGTTCTTTACATTTCCCCCCTTTCCTCAACTTCCCCAGGAAAGAAGGTGCTCTTTGTTGACCATCAGCGTCCTGCCTCAGGAAATAAGCAATGCAATAAACTGCAATTCTCCCCTGCCGCTGACCATTTGCTCTCTGGCCGGCCGGCATTTCCTTCTGGTCACTACTCCCCTCCCTTCCATCTTTAATCTTAGTGCTATCTCCCCATATCAAATTCTCCCTCCATCGCCATATTCCCTTATCATGACAGAGCCATAAGTAAGCCTTTGGATATGACATGCAGGCCCCTAGAATCTTGGAATCAAACCATGGCACTGCGTTGTCTCTTTGGTCACCAGGGGACCAGGGTTCGAATCTCCACTCGGCTGTGGAAACCTATTGAGGCACGTCACTCTCTGCCTCAGAAAAAGGCCATGGCAGACTTCCTCTGGAGAAATGTTGAGAGAAGCTCCCCATAACTGAGGAGAAGTGTCACAATTCGATTCTTGGACAAAGGCTCCTGGAGACCAGAGTTCGAATCCTGGCTGGGTCATGGAAGCCACTGGGTGACCTTGGGCAAGTCACATTTCCTAGAAAAGGGTCGACTTGAAGACCAGAACCATCGTAGTGTCGCAATCTGATTGCCGGATGCAGATTGCTGAAGATAGGGTTTGAAAGCCCACTAGGCCAAGTCACTGGGTGGCCTTGGGCAGGTCATGCTCTCTCAGCCTCAGGGAAAGAAAGCAAAGGCAGACACACGCACACACGCCCATATGAACAAACCTTTCCAAGAAAACCTTGTGATAGGTTTGCCATAGTTGTGAAAGAATTTGTAGCCACACAACAACAGCAACAAGAAGCAGGTTGTCTGCAGCCCAAAGCCAGGCAAGGCCATGGATGACCAAAGGGTCTTGGGGGGTCTCCCATTCAGAAGACAGCCAGGGTGGGGGAGTGGTTTTGAGCGCTGGGTGGACTAGGACTCTGGAGAC